CAGGACCTCATAAACATGGTAGTCTATTGATCCATGCCTAAATGCCCAGAAATGTTCTTCTCTTTCTAATTAGGTTACTTCTTTCACTGTTGCATTGAAGTTTGTGTGCAATATTCCGTTGTGCCATTAGTGGGAACTAACTACAGAATTAATAAGAAAAAAAAAAAAAAAAAAAAATTACTTCCAGTTTCAAGTTCCATTTTAAAAAATGAATTACTTTCCAACTTTATAAAAAAAATCAAAATTTCTAAGAATATCAAAGGAAAGAATAATTATACTCCTACGCTAGTATAATTAGCTAGCCATAATTTATTTCCATTATGCATGTTAATATCCTTTCTTTTCAAAACCTTTCAAGCACATTCATCTGTCCTCTAAAGGTTTTTCTGCCTTTGCATAGCATATTTCTGAAAATGCAGTACGTGTTATTATACAAGCCATGTCTTTACTCCTCTAGGCTTCACCATGGATCCTTGACTGTCAAGATACCATACACCAGATGTCTTTCTGTGATCGATCTTTCTCCAAGTCCTTCTCAGATTGCTGCTCCTCCACCTGACTTCTAAATGTTGGAAGTTCCCTGAGTTCAAGTCCTGAGCCCTTTTCGCTTGTCACACACTCTAAGTAATATTAGTAAGTCTCATTTTCATGGGTTGAAATACCATCTGTAAGCTGATAGTCTTCCAAATTTCTATCCCAACTCAAATGTCTCCTCTAAATTCCTGACTTGAAATATAAATCTCTACTTAATATTTCCACATGGAAGTCTTATCAATACCTTAAATGAAATGTGACCAAAATGGAATTCCTAATGTTTCCTCGAAACTTGTTTCTAGTCCATACTTCCCATTTCAGTAAATAACACTACCTTCTACTAATCTGGATATCATCCTTGATTCATCTCTACTTTTTCACTCCTCACATCAGCAAGTCATGTCATCCCCATTTTTAAAATAAACTCCACATCTATCCATTTTCCTTCATGTCTACTTCTACCACCCTAATCTAAGCATGCTCTTATCTACTATAAAAGCCTCCTAACCCATGGCCTACCTCCAATCTCCTCCCCTCAATCTGTGTTACCCCTTCACAAAGCTGCCAAAGAAATTTTTTGGAAAATAAATTAGACTACATTAAAACTCCAGAGTAAAACATTTTCACTACAATGCAAATAAAATCCAAACTCTGCCAGGACTTGCAAGGCCAAATAAACCCTTGCCCCTGCCACTTCCTCATTATAGCTCTTTAATCACAGCAAGTTCTAAGATAAGGAAAAAACCAAGGAAATTCACTGCCAGCAGACCTGTCCTGAAAGAAAGGTTAAAAGTGGTTCTTCAGACAGAAGGAAAATTGTATAGGTCAAAAACATGGATCTATATAATAAAAGGAAGAATAACAACGTAGTAGATGATTATAGCATGTGGATAAAGGAAATGAATGACAGCAACGGAAAAAGGAAAAGAAGGGTGAATGGAAACATCCTGTTATAAGGTACTTATACTACACATACATGGGTTATATGTAGTATAACATTATTTGAAAATGAACTTAGATTAGTTAAAAATATATATTGTAGACTCTAAAACAATCACTAAAAACCTTTTTTAAAGTACAATTGACATGCTAAGTGAAGAGCTAAAATGAAATCATATAAAATCCTCAATTAAAACCAGGGAACGCAGAAAAAGAAAGAAAAAAGGAAAGAGTAAATTCAACAAATAGAAAGCAGGTACAAATATGATACATCTTAATTCAAATATATCAATAATCACTTTAAATGTGAATAGTCTAAAACACCAACTAAAAGGCAGAAATTGTCATGGCAGATTAAAAAAACAAGATCCAACTATATGTTATGTATAAGAAATGCGGTCTACATATAGAGGCTCGGAGGGGTCAAAATGAAAGGATGGAAAAAGATACGTCACACTAGCACTAATTAAAAGGAAGCTAGAAGACCAGAAACACTTTGCTCTCACCCAATCCTCCTCATTTAGGGTAAACCTAGGCAACACTGCCAAAATACCAGCCTACCACTCTTTTCTCATGGACCCTGACAACAAACTCATTGAAAACAAGGCACTGTTCCTATCAGA